TCAGTAACTTCAGAGGAAAGACAAAGGATGTTCTTCATTAAACTGGTGCTAGTGGTTTTCTGGGTAGGAAATTATGGGTGATTTATTTTGTTCTTCATACTTCTCTGTGCTGTTTTGTCTTCGGTGATCAAGGCAGAAACTCACTTTGTCAACAGCCATCCACGCTGGGGACAGGAGCAGGGTCTTCCCTGTAGGATGGACCCGGCCTCACCTCTGCTCCTGTCCCTTTGCCCACAGGCCTGAAGAGCGATGCGACAGGCGTGATGGAGGTCGAGTCCTCCTACTCGGACTTCATCTCCTGTGACCGGACCGGCCGTCGGAACGCAGTCCCTGACATCCAGGGGGACTCGGAGGCTGTGAGCGTGAGGAAGCTGGCTGGAGACATGGGCGAGCTGACACTCCAGGGGGCAGGTCAGAACCCGGTGTCTTCCGCATCCCTGCTCACAAGAGTCCCTCTTTTGGGCCCCGGGGCTGTCCTCCAAGTCCTAGAGCACCCACTCACTCTAAATCAGACCCCCACGCATCTTGAGCCATGAGGACTCTCTGGCCAGGCATCCGGGGCTCCTCCCTTTCCTCGCTGCCTTCCGTCCACAGGGCCTGTCAGTTCTCCTCCCAGACGCAGCCCGGGTCCCTCGGCTTTCCGCCCAGTCCCACAGCCTCCCTACCGGCCATCTGCCAGCCAGACTCACTCAGACCATCCTGTCCCCTCCTGCACGCCCCTCACGTTACAGGGCCCTCTGTGGGGTCAGACCCTGCCCTGCCTCTGGGCTCTCACCGGGAGCTCCTCTCCCTTCACCTTCTGTCCTCCGGCCATACCCACCATTGGCCTGTTTCTGTCAGGGTGTCCTGTACAGAGCCTTCTGTGTCAGTTTCCTCTACTGGAGCCTTCCCGTCCAGGCCTGGGGTTGCCGTCTCCCCCCTCGGGCTGGACTCAGAAACACTTGCCCAGACAGTGACTGCCCCTCCTCAGTCACTGACCTTTGTCACTCTGATGGGGTTTCATGTGTTTAAATGAGAGCTCTGGGAGAGCAGGGCCCTTCTCTTCTGCTGGTGTCTAGCAGGCGCCAGGGACCACAGGCTGCGTGAATGAGTGGGAACAGGAGCAAGCCAGCTGCCAAACCCCACAGTGCCCAGGGCCATCCTTTCCCTCCCTGTCCTCGTGGCCTCACCTCTGCTCAGTCCGCTCGTCAGCCCTGGCACCTTCCTCTGGCCAGCCTCCCCTGACCCTCCCGCACTGGGTAGAGCCCTGTCCTCCCTGTCCCCAAAGTTCCACGGAGCCAGTGTCTGTACCACATCCCCTCCTACAGCAAAGTGCAACTGTCGGGCTCCGTGGTCTCCCACAGAGCTGTCCCGGAGGGCTACCATCTTACTTTCTCCTGTGTAGCCTTCAGTCCAGAGCCCTTGGTGCTTGTTGGCCAGAAGGGACCATGGACTACAGAACCGACTGTGGAGACATGGACTCACTCCTCTCCTGTTATAGATGGACCTGTAGGCCCAAGAAGCTGGGCAGCTTGCTCAGGGTCACCAGCAAGTTAACACTGTTAGAACAGTACCCTGTGCAAGGACGCATACCCCACACCCCTCTCCCTGTCCTGTGGCCCACACTCCTCACAGCTCACCTCAGCCTGCTGCCTCTGCGCCAGAGGAAGGCACGTCTATTTCTCAACAGCCCCCATGGGCCTTAACATCCTGTCCTCCCCTCACCTGGCTCACCTCGCTCGCTCTTAGAGACCCAGACTGCTCTGCTGAGAAGCCTTCCCTGATAGCCTCAAGCCAGAGGTGACACCTCTGTTCCCAGCCACCTCCATAATCCCACTTAGCACTGTGCCTTTTCTCTCCCACCTGGATTGGTGTCTCAAGTACATGGTGGCATTTGGCAGGTGGGAGAGGTTGCACAGTCAGTGGCTGTTGACTGGCCAACACGCCCCGCTCCCACAGTGGACAGCCAGCCAGGGGGCGTGCTCACAGCTTCTGCATCCCTATCCTCAGCTCTAGTCAACGCTTTTCTGTCTCCTCCTACCTCTGGAGTAGTAAGCACACATCCATGGACCCTTCTCATACCTGTTTCCTCTAATTTGGAATCCTTGAAGTATCTGGGTCCTCTAGGTCTAGGACATTTGCCTGCCAGGGTGGCGGACATTTAAAAGGGGGACCTGCAGAAGGAACAGTGTTCAATGCAAGGAAGCGAAGCAGTCATGCTGAAGTGTCGGCCAGCCTAGCTGACGAACCTTCCAGTAAGCCCTGCGGGCTGTGCTCAGACCCCCAGACTTACTGAGGGACTGGGCCTACAAAGATTCTGACCAGTGGGCCCAGCTTAGAATCTGTTTACTTAGAACAGCCCAGGCGACAGATACCCCAGCTGGTTGGACGGGAAGGTATGGCCTTGGCCTGTCCTGAAGGCCCAGCCACCGGCCTTCCCAAGCCTGTGGCCTGTTGGTGTTAATATTCCCTAAACGTCATACACAAGCCTTTGCCTTTCCTGTCTTCTGTGGGGAAGAGGTTTCCTTCCTTTGCCTAATGATGACATTGAGAAACAATAGACAAGACACGAGGAAAGGCGTACAGTGCCCAGCAGTTTCTGACCGTGAAACATTTTCAAATTCTGCCCTGAAACTGACCCCAAGGAGTCCCAAGAATACTGATTGGTGAAGAATGTGCTCAAGAACCTTCTCCCCCAGGCAAGAGAGAGCTGGGACTGGCCCAGAGGAAGGGTTACCGCTGGGTGAAGACATTCCCATGTGCCAGATGACCCCTGTGACCCTACACCTCGGTCACACACAGGTAGAGGTGTCACCATCTTCACTTTAAGTGAATCCCCTGAGGTCCCACAGCAAAGAAATGTTAGAGTGATGACTGGGGAATCTAACGAGAATGTTCCTGCTCGCCAGGGCAGGAAGCTCAGGGTCAAATCGGGCATCACAACCTGGGAAATTTGCCCTAAGTGCAGACTAGTTTTTCAGGCTTCCGGAGGGGCAGAAGGACCCTCTGGGCCCAAGCTTTCGCGACAGGTACCAACCAGGACAGGGGTAGTGGTGGGGGCTGGCCCCAGACTTCCACGTCCTGGCTGCACCGCTGGCTCCCACCACCTGCTCAGACTGCCACGTGGGAGAACACTGCTTTGTGGCAGAAGTTAAATTCGGCAGAAGAGACATTGGCTCCCTCCACTGCTTCTCTCTAGCAAATCAGTCTTCAAGCCTGCTTTTCTCACTAGATCATGACCCTAATCATAATCTCCAGACTGTGTGGGTGCTCCAGCCTCTGGAGCTCAGGACAGGTTGGGGTGGTTCTCCTTAGTCAGTGAGGGATTAGTCTAAGGATGCAAAGACAGAGGCCCTGTTGGGAGGTGGGGCTGGTCTCGTAAGGACACAGCACCGTGAAGCAGCCTCACCCAGGTATGCCCCTGAGCCAGCCCGTGCCCTGCCCCTTCTCGGTCTTCAGAGAACAGCTACCGCTCACTGAGCACCTGTTCCGTGCTGGGACTTCACATTCGCCTCCTCCTTTTGGAGAACCTACACGGACCTCCTGACCCTCAGCAGCCCTTCACTGAGGCTCGCGTACCAGTCATGCCCGAGCCTGGCCTTTCACTGACCTTAATTATACCACCACCTGCCTTTTCTTTGTAAATGTTAACTTGTTAGAGGGCAGGCTAAAGGTCTCGGGCCACCGCCACTCTTAATCCAGTTCCTATCCTGCACCCCAGGCCTCACCCCCTGTTCCCACTTCAGCTGCATCCTTTCCAAAGTCCTTCTGTGCTTTACGTTTGTGTTTGCTTCTTTTCTCTCAGAAGGACAGACAGAGGCGGGCACCCCAGACAAGGAAGCCAGCAAGCCGCCCGATAGCAGCGATGGGACCACCTCGTCTTGAGTCTGACTTTGCCCATGAAGGGAGGAAGAGAGACCTGCTGTCCCCACCTTGACAGGGACCCCCGGCATTGGCCTGGCAGCCTCTTCTCTGAGCCCCTGTACCAGGCAAGCCAAGCCAGAGTGAAGCGGCACCCCCAGAGGCCGCCGTGGCCCCTGCCCTGGGAAAACCTTACCCCTCCTCTGCCCCCCGCACCCTCCACTCGCCCAGCACCTCCTCACCGTGCCCGGGCACTCTCTCACAACCCTGTAGCTGCGGGGCATTATTTATTCAGTGGGCACCTGGGTGAGCTGCACCCCCAGGAATGCGCCTCCGTAGGTGGTCTGGGCGGCAACCACAGCCCAGCTCTGCCCCGCCTCCTCCAAGCCCAACCTTTGGAGTCAAGACCTTCATAACCCTTTTTTTTAAACACTTTTAAACTTTTTAAAAACTTTAAACCTCTTTTCAGCAGAGAGAAGGGAGCTGACTTTTTTAGGGAGGGTGGGGGAGGCACTCTAAGCTAAACTGACCATCTGTGCAGCTCCATGGCCCCTCCTGGAGCCTCCCGGACCCATTTCTAGGGAAGGGGTTTTGTGCTCAAAACTGACCAACTCTTTGCCCTTTCTACCAACATAAGTGGCACCTAGGACCCAAGAAATAAATGCTGATGATTTGTGTGACTGGTTTAAGATTATTTCTCCTTTAAACAGCAAAAGCAGGGGTGGACCAGGCTTCCCCAGGTTAGCTGGGATCTCTCTCCCTGCCCCGGGGTTCCACGGAAGGTTGTACCTGAGAAGATGCTGGTATTCCGCAGAGGCCAGCATTCTCCTAGCCAGGTGCCTGATGAGTCTTCTACCGTCTGTCCCTCTCGCTCACCCCAGTCCACAGCTCACCCAGATGGGCAGGCCCAGCCCTTGAAACCTAGAGTGGGAGGGGGCTAAGAGGTCGCATTTAAGCACATAGCTCTTCAAGAGAAGCCTGCTTGCTTCCCGAGGGAGGGCAGGCTATGTAAGGCTCCCGCTTTGCCCCCCAGCATCAGAAGCGCCAGCTTTCCCTTCACAGCGCCCACCAGGATCTCAGGATCCTGCTGCTGAGCAGGCTGCCCGAGCCTGGGAACCCACAGGCTCCTTCTGTTCTCACTCCGCCCAAGACCACGACGCTGCACAACACTAGCCATTGGCTTCTTTATTGAGCACCAGATTTTCAGCATGAGTCACCATAGGAAGGTTTCAGATTCACCCAGACTCTGGTCCATAGTCAGAGAGCTGCAGCGTGCTGAAGCATTCACGTGTACAGAAACAGGCACATGGGCTCCAAGGCAGCAGTGGCTGACTATGGGCATCCTGGTCTTCCTTGAAGGAGTAAAGGTGAGTGTCATTCACCCTGAGGGAGGTTCCATCCACGGGGTGAGGGCTTGGAGAGGTGGCTATGATGTCTTCAGGGATGCTGCCCTGCTTCCCAGGCCAGAGACAAAAAGGTTAGGCACCTGCTAGTACCCAGGATGTAAAAAAAAAAAAACAAAAAAACAAAAACCCCAGAACATCAGAGCCAGAGAGGAACCCCTTTCTTCAGATGAGGAGACTGAGGCTTCAAGCAAGAGAATGCTTTACCAAGGTTGCACAGTTAAAGCAGAACAGATCTAAGACCAAGGCCCAGCTCCCCTGCCCTTCGCTTTCGGCAGCCATGGTGACAACCCAAGTTGCCAAGACCTTTGGGGCTGTACTTCAAGACACTCTCCCCTGAGACCAACCTCAAGACAGCATTCTACCGAAAGTAAGCTGATCTGGTGAGCAGCGCCATCAGCTAAAGCCTTGTAGCCAGGGAGTTCCGCACATATTCCTGGCGCCACCCAGGAGAGGAATGGGGTGCTTCTTGTAGGAAATCCCACAGAAAGCCAGGCTACAGCCAGGGCCGGTCAATGGCCCAGAAGCTCAGCCAGGAACATACCTGCAGCAGCCGAAGGTGGCAGCCCATAGGCTGTATAGAGCAGATCAAGAAGCTGCTGCTTCTCATCTTCGGGGAGGAAACTGGACTTTGCCGCATTGATGTTCTAGGAGGACCAAAATGGTGGATGATCTGAACCCAGAGAGTACTGAAGGAAGCCCTGGCAATCTAGTGACGAGCCGACCTCTTCAGTGAACATGGCAATCGATTAAACTCAGAGAAGGACATGTCCAAGGTCACATGGCAGCATAGTGCCAGAGCAGAGACCATGAGGTTCAGTGTCCCTGAAGTGGCACTAGAGGACACCGTGATGTGTGGGGGAAGTTGGAGAAATTTGAGACAGGTGGGGTATGTGTGCAGCCAGAGACACTCCTGCGGGGACAGACTTGGGGTGTCACAACCTCCAAAATCAAGGGCTCAGCCTGGGATCTATGAATGGCCTGAAATGTGTACACACACTGTTCTAGGGAGAGAGTGGACAGCTTTTACCAGATTCTTTGCAGGCATGCGATCCAGGCAAAGGCTAAAAAACCTGGTACTAGGTCAGCATGCCAGCCTGAGGTCTTATCCACAGAGGGCACCTAACTCTAGGTCTGGCTTGTCTCCGCCTGTTCAGGCAAACTCACTCCTCATCTGCAGAGGTTCTGGGCCCTGGCCAAGACCTGCAGGCCTCACACACTGCCAGGGCCAAGAGTCAAGGCCACCAGGGCTCAAGGCCACCAGGGCTCACGCCCACTCACCAGTCTCTTGAACTCCTCCTCGGTAAAGCCCATGTTCTGTTTGGTCATTTGGTAATCGGTTTCCAGGGTGGACTTGAAGATGAGTGGGTCATCTGTGTTGAGTGAGTAGTTAGCCTGGTCACGTTTGAACCTGGATACAGGGGTGAGGGGAGAGGGAAGAGCCTCCTTTTACTTCAGTGAACAGTCACCACACGTTGGCTTTCACCCTCCCTTGAGCCTTGCAGCACCTTTAGACCTGAAAGAGCTGCTCGCTGTACAGAGAAAGAAACCTTAGAGAGCTCAGGCGACGTGTGTAATGCCACATAACCAGCAACTCAAGACGCAAACCATCCGACCAGGCCAGAGCGGGGCAAAGGCAGAAGAAGAACAGGTAGAATGGCAGATCATATGAAACCAGAGACACGGAAGGAAGCCCTGGGCAATCTAGTGATGGGCCAACCTCTTCAATGAACACGGGCAATCGATTAAGCTCAGCAGAGGAGGACATGTCCAAGGTCACATGGCCACAAGTGCCAGAGCAGAGACCATGAGGTTCAGTGTCGCTGAAGTGGCACTAGAGGACACAGTGATGTGCAGAGGAAGTTGGAGAAATTTGAGACAGGTGGGGTATGTGTGGGGCCAGGGAGATACTCCTGCGGGGACAGACTTGGGGTGTCACAACCCCTAAAAATCAAGGGCTCAGTCTGGAAAGCAAGGAGGCCCAGCAAGCGGCACCCTCTGGAGCCTTCATCTTCACTGCCTGCACTCGGGAGAGCCGTCTGGACTCCACCTGTTCACCCTCAATCCCACTGGGATCAACTCTTGAGCCAGCACCGCATGGAAAGGGCTCCTGGCACAATCCCAGCTCACCGTCTATAACCCCAGGCCTTTCCTGCCTCTTACCCAGCACAATTTTGCACTGTTGACTGGTCTTAAAAGCTTTTTGATTTCTCGGGGACCACACTTTTGGCTCGCCTTGTACCAGTCTCTTCTGTCCCTTAAATGTTACTACCCTGCATTCTCTCCTAGGCCTCCTGAGGCTGTCACTTCTCCAGCCACCAGATCTGTGTAGCTGACTCGTGAACCCTACTCCAGCCCCTAGGCTGTGTACCCCTGGTGCCTCCAAGAGCCCACACTGGGACGCTGGGCAGGTAGCGCGTGCTCCACCACCCTGACGGGACCTCACACTCCCTAGTAGTCAGATCACAGCCCAAACTCCTCCTCTTAAGCTTGGCAGACAGACCAGTGCTGGCCTGACCACGGTCGCCCCAAGCTCTTGCCGCCTTCTCCTATGTCAGGGAAAGGTGGCTTTGCCCTCCTGAGGCCTGATGCCACCCCCAGGGTGCAGTCACAGGACAGCGGGAAGAAGGGCCAAGGCCTCTGGTTAGATGGTGGGTTGGGAGCAGGGTGGGTTGGGCCAGACCCCCCACCCCCACCCCGGGGACAGCTTCAAGATGGCACTTGAGGGAACACCCAGAGGTGCCAGGAGAAGGGACCGTGTGAGCTGCAAGACTCCTCATGCCTCGGAGGCCGACTCTAGAGTGTGGAAGCACCCGTCCAACCTGGAGGCAGCGGAACATTGTGCCGTGTGGCGGCAGGAGTGAGGGGGCCCCAGGTCCGCCATCCAGGAGCAGGGCTTCCTCAGCCTGTTACAGCACACCTGCGCCTGGGGCTCCCCTTCCGCAAGACGAAGACGGCACCATCTGCTCCCCGAGGCCTCAAAGCGATTTCCTGTCCAGAGGCTCTGCGGGGACAGTGCCCAGCCCCTGCACTTCCCTCTCACCCTCGACTTTCCTGTTCAAACCCGAATGGGCCCCAGGGCCTGGGCCTCACCGAACCACCGGGTGCTCCGTTTCTGACTTCCAGGCGCCTGTGAGGTAGCTGGACCAGGGGCAGACCTGGAAGAGCAGGTGGGTGGGGCTGGCACGGGTGCCCCCAGGCCATGCTTGCCGCAGGCCCCAGGCCCAAAAACCCCCTGTTCGGACACCGGTCTTGCCACAGCCATGCCGGCCTCCCAGTTGCCGAGTCCCGTGAGCTCTGCCCTGGCAGCTTTGACACCCGCTGCCCACTCCTGCCACGCCGGCCCCGCCCCCTGGCCACTCACCTCGAAGTGCAGGTTTTCACGCCGCAGCCGGGCATAAAGGGCCTCGTCCTCCAGCGTGTGGTAGCCGTGTCCCACCCTCTCCGTCTTAAGCGTGTCCACAGCCTGCGGAGAGGCGGAGTGGAGCCCAGTATCCGGTGGGGAGGAAGCAGGGAGAAGGGCCCCGCGCCAGCCCGGACTTCTCACCTGTCTCACCACCTCTGCGGAGCCCACCTCGCCCGCGTGGACGGTGCGGTGAATCCCGCTCCTCACTGCCTCCTGGAAGGGCCAGAGCCGGTCACAGGTAGCCTGGGGGAGGGCCCCAGGAGGCCCGGCCTTCACCACACTTTGGGTCTGAGTTTTGGCACCCTTGAACTATGGCCGGTCGGCTGGCCTGCTTCAAGATGGGGAAGTCGGGGGGTTTGTTTGTGGAATCATAATCTAAGTGGTAGCTACCCTTGATCAGACAGTTATTAAGTGTCTGTCACCGTATGAAATGGTTTGCCTACGTTACCTAACATCCACAAGTATTAGAATACCTGTTTTACAAAAAGACAAACATGCCCAGGAAAGTAACAGGATGATGATCAAACAGCCAGGAAGTGGGGAGCCAAGCTCTGAATCTGGGAGGTGAGACTCCAGAGCCCCCTCTCTAAAGCCCCTGCCTCATCCACGGGAAGTGTGTCATCAGGCTTCAAGGTGTTTGCTCTAACTCCGTCGTCCCAACAGCAGAAACAGAAGCCCAGAGAAGGGGCAGTCTCACCCAAGTTCACACAGTAAGGTACAGGCAGAGACAGGCTCACACGAGTACTCCCAACACCAAGGGAGTACCAACACCAACACTCTTCTGTTTGTTTGCTTTTTAATTTTTTTTTAATGTTTTTTTATTTATTTCTGAGAGAGAGAGAGACAGCGTGAGCGGGGAGGGGTCAGAGAGAGAGGGGGATACGGAATCTGAAACAGGCTCCAGGCTCTGAGCTGTCAGCACAGAGCCCAATGTGGGGCTCGAACCCACGAACTGTGAGATCATGACCTGAGCCGAAGTCGGACGCTTACCCGACTGAGCCACCCAGGCACCCGGGACTCTTCTGATTATACCAAATTCTCTTATTTCTAGCACAGGAGACCCAACTAAGATAGACCTGGGGACTGTGGAGGCCTCACACGTGCCAGTCCCTGTGACCCCCCCCCTCCTGGGTGGAAGCAAGCTCCCGGTGCTGACACGGCACCGCCCTCCCCACCTTCCCGCAGGACCCACCTCGTAGGCCTCCACGTGTCCTGGGAAGAGGCTGCTCCCTTGGATGGTCTCGTCTCCAGCCAGGTCAATGGCCACAACCATCTGATGCCGGTACTTCTTACACAGCTGCACCACCTCCAGGGACCAGTCTGTGGGCAAGATGTCCCCCGGTCTCTGATGGCAGCACCAAGGGGAGGTCCCCCCGCTTACCATCCCCCAACCTGAAGCCAGTGGTGGGGCGGGGGGGGGGGGGGGGGGGGGGCACAGGTCTCATCTTCAGATCCTGCCTGCCAGGGCCTAAGCACATGACCTTCAGCCAATTCCTCCATCCAAGGCCTGGTTTCCTCTGCTCTCAGAGATGCCAGCCGCTGTCGCACAGGCCCGAGGCAAGGCCCGGGGTGGAAAGTGCCGAGGGCAGGGTCTGGCTGGCCGTTTTTCACTTGATCCCCAGCACAGCCCTCAAGGGGGCGGGGGTGTGCTCAGCCTCACTTAGCACATGAGGAGATGGAGGCTCCCACGTTTTAACACTGAAGCTCAAAATAGAACCCACACTAGCATTGCTGAATGTACTGCTAACATACTCCGTCCTCTTAACCAATCAAGGCATCATGAGGGGTTTAAAAACGGATGAACAGTCACAGGTTTTGGCACCAGACGCCCCTGTGTTCCCACGTGGGCTTTCTGCCTTCCTGACCGAGGAGCGACAGTGTCCTCATCTGTCAGAAGGGAGACAACGGCAGACCCGCCTCACGGGCTGCTACACAGGTCAGAGAAAACACACGCAAGTCACTGACATGGAACCTGGCTTTGATTTTTTTCTATTGTTCAGGTTCCTCTGGTTTTGTGCCTGCAGGTCACGTGGCTGTCAGGCCCGGCCTCCTTCTATTGCCAAGAGTTCTGAGCGCGAAGCCCCAAGGTCCTGCTGAGGGGCTCAATGAATGCCATGGGGCTGGGGGCAGAGGGCCACCGGGTGTGGCTCCAGGGCCAGGCTGGGAGGTGGGGGCCGGGGTGAGAGGGGCAGCCCGGGGCAGGGCTGAGGGCACACTCACCAGGCTGGTGGCGCATGCAGCACAGGATAGACCGCGCCTTCACCCCAAAGTCTCGCTCTCCCTCCTGCAGGCCCTGGTTCACCAGAGCCACCACATCATCGGGGGTGACGTCCCCTCTGTGTGGGGAGAAGAGTAGGGACGGGGCAGAGACAAAGGTCTAGAGGACACAGCCCTGGGACTGGGACGTGGGGGACAGGGTGGGTGGGGGGAGAAAAGAGGCTTCAAGAAGCAGCTCCGGCCCCTAGGAACCCACTGCCTCTGGGGAGGAAGACGTGGCCCCGAGCCCTGGGCCAGCGCACTGCCGGCGCTGGAGGCACTTCCAGGCTGGAAGGTGCGTGCGGGGTGGGGGGTGCCTGTCAGACACGGCTGTCCCTGCGGATGTGGGGCACCGCTAAGTCCGCCTACTTGGATTCCCACTCGGCCGCCCGTGTTACAGCTGTAGCTAAAGGGGCGAGGGGGCAGGGTAATGCCACTTAGAGGCCCAGGCAGAGGGGCAGGAATGGGCCCACAGGGCTAGAACGGGACATCTAGAAGTCCCTGGACAAGGGATCATGTTTCTAGGCTGTGGGCCTGTGTCCGGGACAAAGGAGGCAAGACACAGCCACACATGGTTTCTGATGGTAAATAAACAAGCAAACCAGCCAGCCGGCCCAGGTGAGGGCTGGGAAGGTCTCTTGTGACAGAGTTAAGGACGGGACCATAACTTTCTGAGGCCAGAGACAGGACTGGGGGTGCGGGGGGGCGCAAGATTAGGTCAGGGGCTCCCACCGGCCTGCCCCCGAGTCGCAGGTTGGCCCATCCCACCGACGCCTGGGAACGGCCCCTCCAGGTGGTCACTCACTCTGCCTGGCCCCAGGGGATCGGCTCCACTTTAGCGTTGGCCAGCAGGTGCGGGCTGTAACGCACCTCCACATACGCCACGCCCTCCTTGGCCTTCATCTCGACAAACTCATAGGCGATCCTTTTGATGGCCTCCCGGGAGCCCCTGGGAAGAGAAGAGAAGCGTTGGGGACAACCTTCCCCAAGTCCCTTAGGAGCTCCAGAGGCAACAAGGCTATCCCCATCCCCTGGCAGATCAAACCCCCGCCTAGCCCCCAGCCCCCAGTTCTGGGTATCTGCTCGAGAAGATCCTAGAAGCATGGCAGGTCCGGTCCGCTCTACCTCCAAACCACATGCCGGTTCTTGCCCCCTCCACCCAGGTTCTAACCAGCTCCTCTCCCCGGCCTCCCTGCCTGCAGCTTGCTCCTGTAACACTGCTTTCCACACAGCGGCTAGAGCAGTCTGTTAAAAATGTGACTCAAACCACAGTGCTCCTCCAGTCTGAACCTAGAACGAGATCTCAATCCCACAAGGCCTGTACACTCTGGCCCGTCGCCCTCCCTAGACCTACATTCTCCCCCATCCCATGAGGCCACCACAACCTGCCTTCTGTCCAACAGTCAAGCTTATTCCCATATCGGGGCTCTGTGTGCAGCACCCCCGGCCCGCCTGGCTCTTCCCCTGGATGGTCCTGTGCTCCTCTCCATTTAGACCCCAGCTCCAGCCCGGTGCCTCCTCAGAGAGCCCTTCCCTGACCCACTTCAAAAGGGCTCCTCTGAGATGCTCTACGTGTTCCCCTGGCCTTTACCCCCCGCGGCTCTTACCTCCCCTCCCCCCCAACTTGATGTTACTTATCCCATGGTTTCTTTACCAATTCTCACCCCCCTGCAGGAACGCAGCCTCCACCGACCAGAGTCCCGCCATCGGTCTTGTCAGGACCAGGACCCCTCCTCAGTCCAGGACAGAGCCGAGGATGTAGTGGCCACACAAATGTTTGCTGGGTGATGGACACAGGTCAGCAGGGCAGAGAAATAAAAGCACGCGCGCGCACACGCACACGCACACACACACACACACACACACAGGCAACGAGCACAATGACCAGCGGGATTGCGTCAAACTCAAAAGCACACAGCAAGGAGAGCCTTCCACAGGGTGAACGGGCCACCTACAGAGTGGAAGAAAATGACTGCAAAATCCTACCTGATACGGGGCCGCTATCAACGTGCGTAAGGGACTTCCACAAATTAACAGCAAAAACACCAAATGATCTGATTTTTTTTAAATGGGCAAAGGACCGGAGTAAACCTTTCTCAAAAGACCTACACGCAGCCAACAGTTTTATGAAAAAGGTGTTCAGCATCACTAATCGTCAGGGAAATGCAAATCAAAACTACAACCTCCCCCCTCACACCTTATTAGGACGGCTACAATCAAAGTGATGGCGGGGAAGAGGGGACCCTGGGGCACAGCCGGCAGGAAGGCAAATTTGCGCGGCTACTGTGGAAAACCGTGCAGAGGCTCCTCGAGAAATTGAAAATAAAGCTGTCGTATGATCTGGCAATCCCCCTTCTGGATATTTATCCAAAGGAAATGAAGTCATGATCTCACCGAGATCGTTATTTACAGTAGTGAAGACACTGTTACAACGTCAAGGTCCACAGACAAGTGAATGGATAAACACATACCACACACACGCCACACACACACGCCACACACACACACACAGTGAACTACCGTTCAGCCTTAAGGGAATTCTGCCATTTGCAACCTGGATGAAGCTGGGAGAACATTATGCTAAGTGACATAAGCCAGATGCAGAAAGACAAATACTGCATGATCTCACATGTGGAATCTAAAATAGTCCAACTCCTAAAAGCAGGAAGTACCACAGTAGTTGCCAGGGGCAGGTTGAGCAGGGAAAGGGGAAACTGAGGGCTGCTGAGCAAAAGGTACAAAGTTTCAGTTCCACAAGATAAGTCCGTTCTGGAGACCCAACGTACGGCACGGTGACCATAGTTAACCACGCCATATTTGCTAGGAAGGTAGATCGTAAGTGTTCCCACCACAGAAAAAGAAAAGAAAAAAAAAGGGGGGCACCTGCGTGGCTCAGTCAGTTAAGCATTCGATTTCGGCTCAGGTCATGATTGCCCAGTTCATGGGTTCAAGCCCCACGTCAAGATTCTGTCCCCGCTCCCCCCTCGTCCCTCCCCTGCTCACGCTCTAGGTCTCAAAAATAAATCAAAATTTAAAGAAATGTCTTTTAAACAGCAAAAGGTAACTAACCACAGTGAAGGATATGTTAAGTTAGCTTGCCTGTGATGATCATTTCACAATGGAGAGATACATCAAAACACCTCAAATGCATATAATTTCTATTGATCAGTTATACCCCAGTAAAACGAAGAAGAGAGAAGAGGGGCGGCGGCTGGGTGGCTCAGATCGATAAGCATCCAACTTCAGCTCAGGTCATGATCTCACGGTTCATGAGTTCAATCCCCGCATCAAGCTCTGTGCTGAACAGCTCAAATCCTGGATCCTGCTTCCGATTCTGTGTCTCCCTCTCTCCCTTTCTCTCTGCCCACCCCCATACTCTGTCTTTCTCAAAAATAAACATTTTTTTTTTTAATTTTTTAAGAGGAGAGAGGAAAGGACACAGATGGACAAATCCAGAGGGTACCCTGGGGTGGGGGAGACTTGAATCTTGGCTCCACGCTTACCTCTTGCAGGACTCTGGTGAGTCACCCTGATGCCTACGTCAAATGTGATCGTGAAGACAGATATGTTAACACATAAAACTCACCTGGGCTAGTGCTTGGCGCAGAACAGACAGATGCTTAAAGTATTTTAGTGCTTATTTGGGTGCTGGCTCTAGCAGCAAGGCACATATTACCTGCCAGGGCCACTCTAAGTATTGATCAAGTGACAATGGACAGTGCCTAACTGGAAGTTTCCACCATGAAGAGTGAAAACAGAAAATGGTTACTAGAGTAAAGAATGTGTGAGGGAAGTGCCTTGGGAAAGTCGGCCAACTCCCAGGAAAAGGGTACCATGCCTTCAAGTATGGGGGGGGGGGCAGCTCCTGCCTTTCCTGGGGGGCAGGGGCCAAGCCTGTGTCTGGGACCTCAGACCTGCTGCAGGGGCGCTGGCCTCCCAGGAAGACGGTGCCAGATCTGCCCCCCTCACAGCTGCAAAATGCATTCATTCCCCACTGTGACCAGCACACTCCGAGGCCCAGGGGATACAGCAAACAAGGTAGACAAAATCCCTGTCCCTGCAGTGCCCTGCAGTTGAGCAAGAGAGGCAAGTAAATAAACAAAATATAAAATCTACAGTAGGGGGCGCCTGGGTGGCTCAGTCCCTTAAGCATCTGACTCTTGATATCAGCCCAGGTCAGGATCTCACGGCGGTGGGATTAAGCTAGCCCCAGGTCAGCTGGGGCTGAGCATGGAGCCTGCTTGGGATTCTCTCTCCCCCTCTCCCCTCCCCTCCCCTGCTCAAGCTCTCCTTCTCTCTCTCAAATAAAACTTTTTAAAAAATTAAAAAATAAAATCTACGTTAGGTCGGATGGTGAAATATTCTACGGATACACGCAAACCAGGGGAGGGGGACTGTGAATTTTCAGCAGTGTGGGCAGGGAAGGCCTCACTGAGAAAGTAACACTGGAGCAGACCAGAGGAGGAGGTGAGCAAGCCTGCTACAGTAGATATGGGAACAGCATTCCAGGCAGGGGGAACAGCATGCACAGAGGACCTGAGATTAGGAGTGTGCTTGCTGTCCAAGGTGCCAAGAGGCCAATGTGGCAGGAGAGAAGTGAGCAAAAGGGTAAGGGCAGAAGACAAGGGCTCTTATCTCACACCCGTGGATGGTGGCAAGGGGGGAGGGACATCGGTCCTATGAGCCATGGCCCCAAAGGCCGATCAGCTCAGGAGAGGACGCCAAACCGCCTGGTCACCTTGGGCCTTCAGGGAGCCAGGCATCTTCTGTCTGGCCAGAGGGACAGGGGCGGCCGTGGGGGAGAGGTGCCTCAGCCCGTCGGGAGCTCCCCCTGTGTGGGTGTTCCAATGTGGGGGTGTCCGGGGAGATACAGCAGGTGCCTGCAGGGAGGGGCGTGTGCACCAGTGTATCTGCCTACAAGGCCAGAGATGGGGACAGCCGGTGTTTTCCAGGCTGACTCCAGAAGCTTCCAGCAAGCAGCCTCAGCACACATCTTCCTCCCCCAGAACTCCTCAGACTTGTCCTGACGCTAATCTAGCCAACAACCTCCATCTGCGTCACATACTTTCTTCAGTGGTCCTCCGACAACCCATACTCGATACGAGGCCCAAACTTTTCCTCAGGTCCAGCCCTCTGGACGACATCACACCCTGTCGATCCCAAAGCTTGCGCCATACTTCCTCCTCCAGGCAGCTTTCCCTAACTGCTCCCAGTCCATTTGCCTCTTCCCCTTCCGGAGCTCTGACAGCACAGATTGCAAGGCTTGACTCTCACCAGCCCTCTCAGGCCAAGAGGCTCAAGGTGGCATCAGGGGGAGAACCTGGGCTTCCCCCCTTGCAGCTGTGTGGTCCTGGCCACACCCCTACGCTTCGCGAGCCTTCGTTTCCTCCTCTGCAAACGAGTGGGTCCTCCCCGCAGGACTGTCAACAACCACAGAAAGTACAGTTGTGTGAGCTGCTCACATCCAAGAGACTCTACTCTTATTTCTTTTTAAGTGTTTTTATTTATTTCTGAGAGAGAGAGTGTGAGCAGGGGAGGGTCAGAGAAAGAGGGAGACACAGAATCTGAAGCAGGCTCCAGGCTCTGAGCTATCAGCACAGAACCCGACATGGGGCTCGAACCCACGAACCATGAGATATGACCTGAGCTGAAGTTGGACGCTTAACCAACTGAGCCACCAAGGTGCCCCGAGACTCTGCTCTTAAAGGTAACATAAGAACACCAGTGCCTAGGGGCACCTGGGTGACTCAGGCGGTTAAGCATCCGACTTCTACACAGGTCATGATCTCGTGGTTCAGGAGTTCAAGCCCCACGTTGGGCTCTGTGCTGAAAGCTCAGAGCCTGGAAGCCTGTTTCAGATTCTGTGTCTCCCTCTCTCTCTGCCCCTCCCCTGCTTGTACTCTGTCTGTCTCTCAAAACTAAGTAAACATTTAAAAAATTAATTTAAAAAAACCACCAGTGCCTGGTTATCCATAAAGGTAGCAATTATCTTCATTGTAACAGGGGGCTTGCTGAGGACAGTACTGTGTCCATTCCAAACCGCAGCCCTAGAAGGTAGATGGGATTGTGAGCCCCATGGTCTAGATAAGAGCACAGAGGCCCAGAGAGGGTACATTTCCCCAGTGTCCCAGTTATCTCGTGAAAGGATCAGACACTAGGATCTGAGCTCTTGACCTCGCCCTCTGTCACTTTGCTATAGAAGTTGAAGAAACATCAGTACATTATACCCACTTTCCGGAAGGGAAAACTCAAGGCTCAAAGGTAGGAAGAGATTCACACAAGTACACACAAGGATGAGAAACAGAACTGGGGAAGGCGCAGGCTGCAGGGGACAGGTATGGTCGCCCAGGGCGGGGGGTGACTCACGCAATGACAGGCATGTAGTAGTCAAACTTGGCCAAGAAAAATGGGAGGCTGGTGGGCTTGTCCAGGCCGATGATGTCCTGCAGCTCCTCCACGGTCTCAGCAGGGAGGGCAATCCCCCTCTTCCTGGGAACAGAGCCAGGAGGGCAGTGGACTGGTCCTGAGTAGGACCCAACCACCTCCTCCGAGGGACGGGAACAGGAAACCCAGGGATCTCTTCACCCATCTCCTCCCATTGAACAGATGGGAAAACTGAGGCCTGGGCCATTTAGGCCCAAACTTAGGCCAAAGGCTGGGACCAGCCAGGGAATCTCAAGAGGGGATACCCGGCATTGAGGTCTGCACACGCACACACACATGCACGCCCCCGGCGCCTGGAAAGCCACCGGGGCGAGCCCTCAGTTTCCTCCTCAGCCCCAGGAGCAGGGAGAGCCAGCTGGGCTCACGCCAGGCCACAGGTTATCAGAGCACTAACTGCAGCACCACAATGCCCGGGACAGGGACAGGCGCCGGACTTCCCTCCTCTGCCCCCCACCCTCCATCTGGCCGGCACAGCAGAGAGGCCAGCCCGGCACAGCGAGCTGGGAAAGCATCCGGTGGAGTGTCTGCCTTCTCCCGGGGAAGGTATGGGGGCCGGGGGGAGGGGGGGGAACCAGCCATCCACCTCAGAGTGGCCTCCCCTCTCTGCCCACACACCCCGTACGGGCCTCGCCCAGAACAGCCCTTCTGGCCCGGAGCCTCCTCCAAGCCAGTGGCAGGGGGGTGCGCAGGTGGGCTGGCCTCCTCTGCTGTGACTCCCAGGTCACCCTGGGCCTCAGTTTCCCCACTTTTAAGAACCCCAGACATTCAAGACACGCTTCTACCATGAAAGGACAAGACAGGAGGCCAACGGAGGACCAAGGAAACAACACAGAGGACAGAAGAAAACCTGAAACCCCGACAACGAAGAGCCTTGGGGACAGAAGAGGAGGTCACATCCCTGAAACACAACATCCTTTTCAGAAAGGGGACACCCAGAGAGTAAGAAACGGCTCCCGGAAATCTAAAAGAATATGGTGCCGATCGTCATATGGATGGAATGAAATGAACGGAAAACAAAACAGAGAAACTCCTCCAGCGACTAGTACAAAAGATGAAAAATAGGAGCAAATGATGAATTAGGCGACCGAATCAGGCTCGAGCACCCGTTTATCTGCAAAGCAAGAACGGAAGAAGGAAGGAAGGAAGGAATCGCCAGAGAAACTGAAGTTTGAATGGTGTTTACGTTCTTAACTGACCGGTCGCTAAAAGACTAAACTGTGTCCCCACATAAATCCTAGGCGCTCCTCTCCTTCCAGTGGCCCAGAAGTGGCCCCCCTGTCTGCAGTCAGCCCCCCAGCCGTGTCCCTGCAGGACACCGTGGGAGCGAGGGCATCGCTGGGGTGGTCCTGGCACAGAGGGCAGGCGGGCCCCTCAGCCTTCCGTTGCTGGGCAGCCTGGCCCAAGGCCCCCCTCAGAAGGTCACCCCCAGTGACCGAGCCCCTTCCCCCCAGAGCCGGTACCAGTTAAGTGCTGTGTTTGGGAGCTGGTGGGAAGTAGGGGAAGGCTTGGGTGCTCACCTGGTCAGACGCGGTGGCCACCCTCACTTGGGCCCTGCTGGACCCGTTCTGTGTGACTCTCCTGACGGTCTCCCTCCCTCCCCCCTGCCCCGTGACTTCCTAAGGGGCTCTTCCTCCTGACCATGCTTTAAGACTGTCCCTTTTACAGACCTGCCCACGCAGACTCCTCCCCTTTCAAGATTTTCACCCGAAAATCCAGGAATGTCTACCTCTACACACCACCGCTTGAGGGCCTAGGACGGGCCGGGCACTGGATCACTGGATGGGACAGCAGTGACCAAGGCAGACCCAAGTGTCTGACCACCCACCCGCTGTCACCTCTCAACACCCATGCCCCACGCTCTACCTTCCCTAATACACCCCTCCCCCCTCAGCTGCCCAACCCATGGGGGTGGCCTCCCCTGGGACACCGTCGGCCTTGCCCACTAGCAGCCAGTCCCCAGTCCCACTTATTTTACTTCCTAAATGTCTGTCCCATTAGTGGCCCCCTCTCCAGACTCTCTCATCAGCCATCAAGAGATCTTTTGACAGAGTGGTCAGAGAAGGCCGGTCAGAGGAGGGGACAGTTGTGCAGAACTGAAGGGTTTAATGTTTATTTTTGAGAGAGACAGAATATGCGTGAGTGGGGCAGGGGCAGAGAGAGAGGGAGACACAGAATCCAAAGCAGCTCCAGGCTCCGAGCGGTCAGCACAGAGCCCGACACCAGGCTCGAACTCATGAACTGCGAGATCGTGATCTGAGCCAAAGTCGGACACTTAACTGAGCCCCCCAGTGCCCCTGAAGCAGAACTAGAAAAGAGACAGAGGGAACAAGAGGGGCTCCAGGCAGAAGCCAGGAGGGCGGGTGAGGGCAGGGCGGCTGGAGATCAGAGCGGGGGGGGGGGGGGGGGGGGGGGGGGGGGGGGGGGGGGGGGGGGGGGGGGAGGTTGAGCAGGGAAGGGGGCTGGTCAGACTATGCTTTAAGGGAGTTGTTCTGACTACAATGCTGTGGGGACAAGCGACAGAGGAGGCCAGAGTGGCCACCGGGAGACCAGTCAGGAGGCCACAGCCACAGTCCAGGTGGAGATGCTGGTGGCTCGGGCCAGGGTGGCAAAGGGAGGAGAGTGGGCCGGAGTTCAAAACGTGCGCTGGTGACAGGGTCACGGGGAGACTGAGAAAGAGGGAGGAGAAGCCAAGGAGACAGAATCACAGGCGCAGAGGGAAGCAGCGGATAAGAACACGGTCGACGGAGGCCCAAATCAGAGGCAGAAGAGGGGCCCCTGGATTTGGCCAGAGGGAGGGAGGGAGGAAGGGTCTTCCTTCCTTCCCTCAGCCCACCTCCCCAAGGAAGTCCTCCAGTGTCTTTATGCTGCTGACCTCGAGCTCGAACCCCAGCTGGCACGGTAACACCCCTGCCCAGGCCCCCGAGGCCCCTCCACTGCTCCTGAGATGCCCAGGCCACATGGGAAACAGGAAATCCGACCAGCCTCCCCACAGGGGCGGTTCCCCTCCCTCCTCACTCTACCCTGGCCCAGACTCCAGCCTTCTCCACTAGCATGTGCCCTCTGACCCCTTTAACTTGCACCTGCCAGGAGATCCCCTCCTAGTACCCAGTAACCTGCCCTAATGGCCTCATTAGGGGCCCTGGGCCACAGCCAGCACACTGCACGGGCAAAGGTCAGGCAGAGATAAGCCAAGCAGCTTCACCCCACTCAGCCGGAGCCACGGCTATAATTAATAATACTATCATTAAGTGCCCTTTGTGGGCACCGGCCTTAGCCCTGAGCTAAGGGGTTTCTGTGCACGGCTTCACCTAAGCCTCCCGCCGGCAGGAGTATGGACTAGGGGCCACACCCATGCTTACTAGACAAGGCCCCTCCCCTGCCAGGGCTCAGTGTCCAAATCCGTAAAATGGGGACAACAATGGTACTTCCTCGCAAGTCGTCGTGAGGATGGAGCACGTCAGGTGCAGCGCTTTGTGGCACTCGGCTCACAGTCAGTGCCGCAGGAGAGTCAAAGTTACATCAGTAGCGACTTCCTAGGGCAGAGTGAGGTCTGCGCCAGTAGGACAAGGTGGAGAAAGATGTTCCCGCCAGACCTCGGTCCCCAGCTCTTGGAGCTGGAAGAGATGCTCCAGAGAGTTGGGGACAGACTCCCCAACATCACGAATTCTCTGGAATGGCGGCATCTGGAGAAGCCAGGGGACACTGGCTCATGGAGCAGAGTATTCACATTTGGGTCTGAGCTGAAGTGCTCCAGGCAATGAGAGAGGCGGGGTCCTCCCAGCTCCACACGGAAGGAGTGCCCAGCAAACAAGTGAAGAGCACAGTCCACGGAAGGAGGGGCGGGTGGCAGAAGGGGACCCCGCCTCTCAGGTCAGTTCTGGAAAGAGGCCAAGCTTGGGGCAAGGATATGGGGTTCTCATATTTGCATCCAGACCACTGGCCTAAAGGCCCTGCTGTTAAGTGTTAGACCCAAGAGAGGGGCCACCATGAGCCCTTGAGGTGGGGAAGGAGGGACAGGTGTCCCTCATTGGGGGGCACTAGGGACCCTTCAACCCACCCACATGCCCGCGAATGGAGGCCGGAGGCACATTCTCACTTGGAAGATGAAGAATGACCCCCAGAGGAGGGGCCCCCTGGCCCCATCCCCCAGCAGGCTATGGCCAGGGTGACACGGGGAAAGCCTTGGGGGTCAGATGACCCCTGGGTCAATTCCAGACTCTACCGTTCCTAGTTGTGTGGCTTTAGGCTACTGCCTTCACTTCTCTGAGCCCCCGGCTCTCCTCAGTGACTTGGGAATAGCGACACGCTCCCTCCTCCAAGTGTGGAAGGGTTAACTTCACTGACTCAAGGAGAGGGCTCAGCCCAGCGGCCCAGCACCAGATGCTCCACAACCGGTCCCAGCATCCCGTGTGGGTGCATCACCTGCCACAGACTCTGCGGATTCAAAACACAGTGACCGGTTCAGCCCTAGGGCCTGCGTCCCCGTGTGTGAGCGCAAGTGTGTGCCTGTGCCTGTGTGCGTGCGTGCCTGTGCGCGTGGGAGGCAGGGCAAGCTCTTCCTGGCTCGCCTGGCGGCAGGAAGGAAGAGTCAGAAGCACAGAGAGCAGAAGGCTTGGGCTGTGGGGCCCCAGCTCAGAGCAGAGGGGCTGCCATTTGTCCACAGACCACCTTCTTCTGGCCAGGCAGGCCAGCTTGAGTCCATGGAGACACAGGAAGGAACAACCCTGGAATTCTCCAGAGTCCTCTGGGTTGAACTGTGGGCCCCCAAATATCCCCAAATGCTGGAGAGGAAGGCCTCTTATCCAAGGACTTACTTGCCGTAGTATAAGATGGTTTCAGGCTTGATGGCCCCATCCAGGTGGACATGTAGCTCCACCTACAAGAGAGAAAGGAAACAAGGGCAGGGATGGGGGTGGGGGGGAGAGAAAACAGACACCCATGAATGCCCGAAGGACTTTCCAGAAGGTTCCCATGAACAATGACGGTGATAACCATCAGTCCCATCGACAGGACACTTACCACAGATGCGCCCCTAAACTCTTTGCACACACCACCTTGTTTAATCCTCATCTGCGGGGGGGTTTGATGGTCATTTCTAGCTCTTTCACAGTTAAGACCATAGAGAGGTTCAACCGCAGCTGAAGTTCAGGAAGGTTATGCCCGAGGCCGTAGAGGCAGGAACCCAGCCCAGTTCTCAACTACAGCTGGCAAGTGGCATAACCAGAATTGTAACCCAAGTCCAACCCCAGAGCTCGCACTCTTAGACAGGAGGCCAGCCACGGTACCGTGGGAGCCATGGAGCCCCAGCCCCCTCCCAGGCAGTGTCTGCTCTCCACCAACTCACTAAACAGAATCCAACATTAAAAAGTATTGACCACAGACTTCCCGGACCTGAGAATATCCACAGTGGATTTCAAAACGCAGGCCCCATTTTTAAAAGCAAAAGCAGATGTTACTTAAGCACAATGATCAGAAATCAGTATTAGGTGACACCAGATCTTTCCAGCACTCCAGAAAGGGTACCAGATACTTGGCCATCTTGGTGATCATTCCCTACACACACACACACACACACACACACACACACCCACCCACCCACCAATGTTCAGCACACAAAGCCAGGAGTTTAAGGACATAGGTTTTGGAGACTGCCTGTCGGACAAGACTCGCAGCTCTGCCCCTTTGCTGGCTGTGCGATCTTAGCCGAGACTCTTGATCTGTCACAACCACAGTTTCCTCAGCTGCAAAACAGGCTATTTCTGCCTGCCTGTCCACGAACAAGTCTAAGGATTTTTTTTTTTTTTTTAATTTCTGAGAGAGAGAGAGACAGCATGAGTATGGGAGGGCCAGAGAGAGAGGGAGACACAGAATCTGAAGCAGGCTCCAGGCTCTGAGCTGTCAGCACAGAGCCCGATGCAGGGCTCAAACCCACGAACCGTGAGATCATGACCTGAGCCGAAGTCAGACACTAAACTGACTGAGCCACCCAGGTGGCCCGAGCCAGCGCATCTTCCAGAAGCTGTTAAGATTAGCATACCAGGCACTGGGAGACAGCGGGAAAGTGACTTTTCCTGGGCCAGGGGAGATCTAGAAAACTCCAAGTTGGGCCCTTCTCTGGAGCGTGGTAACCTGGACAAGAAAGTAGCTGCCCTGGCTAGGGAGGAAGCTTCCGGCTCACAGGAATCCCAGGAACCTCCCCTCAACCGTATGCCCCCACCAGCCGCTCCCTGCAGAGGAAAGCCAGCCCCAGGCCACAAAGGCACAGAACTGCCAAGCCCTCCTCCCAGCATTTGGTCCGAGCTATCAGATCTTTCCAGAAGTCTTCCAGCCTTCAAAGGAGCCAGCGGCACTCACTGGAGGCTCAACAGAGTTGTAGGTTCCCTGGCAAAATCTGTTCAATGCCCACTTGGCTAACTGTTCACGGCACTGTCAAAACACATCAACTGTGGGGAGCCTGGGTGGCTCAGTCGGTTGAGTGGCCGACTTCAGCTCAGGTCTTGATCTCACGGCCCATGGGTTCAAGCCCCGCGTCGGGCTCTGTGCTGACAGCTCGGAGCCTGGAGCCTGCTTTGGATTCAGGGTCTCCCTCTCTCTCTGTTCCTTCCCCTGCTCTCTCAAAAATAAATGTTAAAACAAAACATAAAAACGTTCAGCATCGGGAACACTGAGCTTCCGGCTCTGGAAACTGCCACGCAGTTAGTGTGACCCTGGACAGGGGCCTCCTCTCTCTGAGACTGTGGGGATTTCATCCATAACCCTCCTGTGGCTGTGCTGATGATCCCACCAGAGAGGCGGGGTCCTTTGCGGTCAGATCTGGAATCCCTGCTCTTCCACGCCCTCCTTGGTGGCCTGGAAAAGTTACTTCACTTTCAGTGCCTCGGTGTCCTTATCTGTCCATCAGGGAAGCTAACAGGCCTTTCTCCTAGGGCTTCGTGAGGCTCCACACGTTCATGCACGTAGTGCGCTGGGCCAACATGTAGCAGGTGCTCAACACCGCCAGTGGAGAGGCCTGCACTCGCCAAGCTGCTGAGGCCCTGCTGGCTGCTAGGAACGGCGAGTAAGCTGAAGGGACAGCGTCCCGCTGTGATGCTTACAGTCCCGCAGGGGAAGTGGAAGTAAATGTCACAGTGACAAATGTACCATCACAAGCCAAGACAAGACCTGGAGAGGCACAAACAGTCCTACAAAAGAGATAATAAACAAAAGACCTTACCCAGATAGAGGGCCAACAATGGCTTCCTGGAGAAAACAGAGCTTGAGCCAAGATCCAAAAGATAGAGGGGAACCAACGAGGCAAAGGCAGGCTGAGGAGGAAGGCAGGAAGAGCATTCCAGGCAGGGGGAGCAGCACAGGCAAAGGCCCTGCGGTGGGAAAGCACATGGTCCAGGATAGGAACTCAAACACGGCTCCAAGAAGAGAGGGGGTGGTGGGCTGGTGAGGCGACAGGGAGTCAAGTTTTAACTTGAGAGCGTGGAGAAGTTGCAGCAGGGTTTGAAGCCAGCTAGAGGGGGAAGGGGACTCAGAGCGAGACCAGCTGGAGGCTACGAAGGTCAAATTTATGACAGAAGATGGTACCTTGAACCAGGGTGGCAAAGCGGATATGGAAAAGTGGGGGGAAAGAAAAAGGGGTCAAGGATGATGCCTCAGGTTGGGCCTTGGCGGGTATGGGTAGTGATTCCCACACTCTGGGCGCAGGCCAGGAAGACACCCCAGTGCTCAGAGGAAGGTGGGGGAGGGGTGCGAGGAGAGAGACATGGTCAGTTTGATCTTAGTTATGTTAAGCTGGGATGCCCTTGAGCCCTCCAAATGTAAAGGCACAGAGCCAATGGATGGAAAGTTCTAGAGTACTCAGAGATCAAGATTGGCGAAGAAAGTAGAAATATGGATAATGAAGCCAAGGTCGTGGATGACCTCACCAGGGAGGGGGTGACCAGAGAGGAAGCACCCACAAACACCAGCACTCCATGGCTTTACAGGGGAGGCTGAACCTGCAGAAGAGCTGCCAGAGAGGTAGGGGAGAAACTGGGAGTGTGTGGTGTGCAGAAGGCAAGGGACGATCAGAATTTAAGGAAGAGGGGCGCCTGAGTGGCTCAGTCAGTTGAGCATCTCTTGATCTCAGGTCAGGTCATGATCTCATGGTTTGTGGGTTCAAGCCCCAAGTCAGGCTTCACGCTGAGGGTACAGAGCCTGCTTGGGATTCCCTCTTTTCTTCTCACTTTCTCAAACTTAGCAAGATTTAAGGAGTGGCCCACCAGGTCAGAAGAATGGTAGCCGCCCCCACCCCCCCCAAATAGGTCTAGATCCAAAACCCCAGAATCTACATTTTCTCACCTGGCAGAGCGGGTGGTTTAAAGTTCTGAGGACTTTATCCTGGATTATCCAGATAATGCCGTCACCTGTCTCGTATGAGGGAGGCAGAGTTTTAAGAAAAACTCCTAGAAGAGGCAGCAATGTGACCACTGAAGCTGTGCGATCATGAGCCAACGATGGCCTGTAGCCACTGCAAGCCGTAACAGGTGAATCTCTCAGACAGCGTGTGACCCTACTGACACCTTGATGTTGGCCTTCTGACCCCCAGAACAGGGAGAAAATTTCTATTGTTTTAAAAAAACTTGTCTTAATGTTTATTCATTTTTGAGAGGGGGATGAGGGGCAGAGAGAGAGGGAGACGCAGAATCCAAAGCAGCTCCAGGCATCCGAGCTGTCAGCACAGAACCCAGCGCAGGGCTTGAACCCACAGACTGTGAGATCATGACCTGAGTCGAAGTCAGCTGCTGGACTGACTGAGCCACCCAGGTGCCCTGAAAATTTCTACTGTTTGAAACTTCTATTAGCATGTATGGGAATTTGTTACACAGCAGCTACAGGAAACTAATACAGTCAGGTCCTGTCAGACGTCAAGCAAGAACAGAAATGTGTCCCTGGGGCTAAGGCCACTGAGACCCAAAGGAGATTCTCGGCCCTGGATGCCCATTAGGGGCACCTGGGAAGTTTGGAAAGTCACCCACACCTGGGCGCACCCTGGTCCGTGCCGTCACACCCTTGGGCCTGCACATGGGATCATCATGGACTTTAAAGACATGAAGCCACAGTATTGAGAACCATCATCCTACAGGAGATGTTCCAGAGGCCTGAGGGGGCCAGAATCCATGCTGGGAGAGGGGAAGAAAGAAGTAGAGGTCAAACAAACAAACAAACCAAAAATTAAAAAAAAAAAAAAAAAAAAAAAAAGCTTAGATTCTTCTCTCCAGAATTTTACCCCTGGAGGAGAAGAAAGGGCCAGAGAAAAGACCAGAGGTAAAGGTGGGTCCAGAGAATGGTCTCCCTGTAGGGTGGGAGTGACTGGGGCAGGCGTCAACGCTGATGGGGAAGAGGACTTGCAGGAGGCTACGGAGAAGGCGGCGGGGGCGGGGGGGGCTCCCCCAGAGAAGGGGCAATGGCGGAGCTAGACAGGGGAGAGGAGGAGGGAGAGGAAGGGCTCCAGGCAGAGGAGCCCCGTGTGCAAACATCGGCAGCAGGCAGCAGGAGAGGGGATTGGCTTGATATAGAGAATGATATAGTGGGGAGAGAGGCGGCCCTAGAAAGTGGGTGGAGGGCAGGGATAGGTCACAGTTAAGGCGGATCCACAGAAGGTTCTGGATAGGAGATCACCTTTCAAAACTGCTTTCTGGAGCCGTGTGGACAGGAGGGGAGAGGGAAGCCAGAGCTGCCCAGGAGTCAGACTAGAGAGAAGCGCCCACAGGAGATACCTGCGCAGCACAGACCGGGAGGTGCTCTGTGCGCACGGGCTAACCGGTGCGGCGGGAGAGGTGAGGGGGGCGTGGGAGGCAAGCGCACCCGTGGGGACAGGGAAACAGGGCCTGCTGCCCCACCATG